CTCTTTTCTGTGTAATCCTACTGTTATTTTACCACGGGACCAATCTATGAAGAGCTTTCCCTCCTCACAAGAAGGTTCTGAGAAACTAAAGTGATGAACGTGAGACAAAGTGTCCACGAGAGTCTGGGCACCGTACGATAAGAGGACTGGCTGCAAAAAACGTCATGCAGCCGTTTTACTTGGAACGCGACTATTGCCAAGAAGGTGGCATTATGTAAACGGTAAGATTAATGCTTCTATAAATAATAACGACGCCGTGCCACATCTACATGAGACCTATACTTCACAATCGATCGCGTATTCAAACCCTCTCCCTTCCAACTGTCTATCAGGCATATATTGTGTAAACAATAATGACTGATAGACAGTTGGAAGGGAGAGGGTTTGAACAATGCGGCCAGGAAACGAAACCCTGATGCCGCGATCTCTAAAATAAAACGGTTACGGTAATTGAGGCAGCAACTGCTTTCACACGCTCGCTCAAACTAGCAAGCACGACAAGTGAAATGCGCAGTTCCCCAATGATAAAAAAATGGTCCATGATCACTTGAATTGACGACGAATATGAACAAAAAGAAGAGTTGAATAAAAGCGGCAAAGACCCACACCTAACATGTTGACTGAATGATAACTAGGAACCTTCCTTAGATTTACCTGATAGATTGCTCCGATTACTCAAATTTTCTGGCAATGTGGGCAAAAGCCACACCTTCTGTCACTCAGTAGTGACTGTTTGACTAAGGACATTAATCTCAGGCCGCGAAAACTAGCTGTCACGTTACTTTTCATGACTTTCCAGAAAACAATCGTCATTCTTCTATCTGTCGTCTATTGCTGACAGTACGTAGATAAATAAATAAATAAAATTGCAAAAAAATTAAGACCAGTACACAAACGCATATGAAACCGCGGCACTGGGCGAAAAAATCGAGATGTCTCGTATCCCGAAAATAAAAGACTCTAAACAATCTTTTATTTTCGGGATACAGACATCTCGATTTGTAAACTAAGCATAAATTAAGCATTTGTAAATTAAGCATAAACAGCGAATGTTGGATCTAAAATTTGAGCGCCAGCTAACATTAAAAAGGTGTTTCTTTTTTCCGAGATTAGTATGATACCGATTACCCTCGAAGAATGGATGACCGATTTCCAATCTGAATGAAGATTAAACTAAATTCTGACCCCGGAGCAGGGTCGGTCCTATCGTTGCTACTTTTCAAAAAGTTTTTACGACCCCCCTCCCTCATGAAATGTTTCATACGACCCCCTCTTTCAAACAATTTTTACCCCAAAAAATTACCGTCGAGCGGGGGGGGGTATATACTTCCCATAAAACCGCAAAAATTCCCTACATTTCCCTGCAATTTCCCTGTATTTTACCCATATTTCAACTACTCCATTTTCTAGGGGAATATACAGGGGGGGGGGCCAAAAAAAAAAGACATTTTGCCTATGTCGGACTTCGGCTCTTTTTTCTTCGCAGAGATTGCTGTCGTTGACGGGAGTTCCTCAGCAGAGTATTCCCTAAGTGTCCCTCTATAAGTGAACGCAGGCCCTCCTTCACTGCCCTCACCGTCTTCAGAATATGACGTCATCTGTCACCGTCGTCAGGCTCAAGGAGGTCTACCGTAAGAGCTTCAGCCTGAAAGCTCTTACGCAATTTCGTGAATCGATTTAATGTTGGATAGTTTTCTAGAGGCATTAGCTACCACTGTGCAAATCCCCTCGGAACTAGCTTTCCAGTAAGGGTCGTTATGGTACACGATCCTTCGAAGACCCCATTGAGCTCGACCAGTGCACCATGTTTCCAGGGCAAATTCTTCTGATGCCGTCCACGTAGGTGGCCACCATGAAGATTTTCTTATAGAATGGAATGCGCTCTTTAATAATAAGTTGGAACCATTCGGTCTGAATTGAGCAAAATGGTGCTTAAATCATCTGGAAGTGGAGACAAACTGCCTCTTTTTTTTATTGGCCCCCTGTAATACGCGCGCTGAAACGGCAAATTTTCTCCCGCGCCGCTCCCCCACTCATCACATGCAACTTCTTACAACCGAAGCAAGTACGACCCCCCCCTCTACAAACTCATCAAAATACGACCCCCCCGTTGCTACTTGTAGCAACATAGGGTTGACCCTGCCCCGGACCGAGCTTGTGAAATGTGCACACTTAAGCTACTATACATGTACTGCCACCACCTCAACTGGACATTTATCTTGATTTTGTTGATTTCCAAATAAGATTCACGTTTATTACGATTAGCATGTTAACTATATTTACTGCAATCATTAATTTCAACAGGAATCCGAAATAAGCTGAAATCGCCAATTAGATGTCCTCACCAACTCCAGAGTTCGCATCTAAACCAAGAAAGTGTCACAGGAGTCAACCGTCTGTTCCGCCACTATGAAAGTTTTCACGTCCCCCTCTCTTTTAAGAGGGTGCCTGCGTAATCCTTGCCCATCACCACCAGCCTTGGAGAGTCGCCTATGTCACCTCTCACTACCGACTTCACCAGCACAACTGTTTCTGCAGCATTTATTTCTAACCATAAGACTAGTCAATACACTCCCACTCCACCCACATTTAACCTTAAAACTGACAGTAAGGCGAGGTTGCAAATATTCTAATTTTGCCCATTTCCCACCACTTTCGCGAAAATTTCGCGACAAATGTCAATGTTGTCAAAAACACCCCCTTTCCCTTCCACAGCAACCCGATTCCTCAATTTGCACCACTCCTTCTCTAAAAATCTCAATGCCATGTCTCCACTATACAGCAAGTACGCACCTCCTTGAACTGGCAAAAACCGAATGGCGGGGGTTCTCCTTGGCCGCCACTAACCGGAGGGCTCTCGAAATCGAGCCAATTGCAGCGCCTCTTGTCCTCTTCTTTTTACTTTACTAAGAGTTAACGGCTTCCTCACTGGACAGACAGGCTTCAGGTATTTCGTCATCTTCAATCCATCTTTCTCCTTAAACTTACCACTGAAAACCTAGTCTGTAAATCGCAGCCAGCGCGTTAATAAGTATCTACTTGTTCAGCCGTTCACAGTTCAGAAATCTGACTGCCCACTTGATTAGTAAATGCTTGATTTAAGCTTTTCAGATACCGTAGCGAAAAGCTCAACGGTGGTAAGGAGCATTACATACAGAGAAAAAGGAAACGATTGAAAGGCTTTTCCGCAACAATCAATAAGCACTATGAATACGAACGAGCACTTTCTGAAAACGGGTGTGCATGACCTTACTATCCATCAAGAGATATTGAAGAGGTAGCATATGGCTCAAAATTTGTGTGTCAGTATTGCTAACCTTCGGATAAAGGGGTCAAGGACGAGCAAACATGCACGCCAAAGAGGAACCATTCCCCCCTCAAGACTGCTAAACATTGATTCAGGAGCAATTTATTTATTAATTTTATTTATGAGGAACACTAATTTAGATGATTTTTTCGTGACCACATGTCACAAAAACAGCTCACGAATTCTGGTATTCGAAATCTTGGATAGTCGTATGAAGAGGAGTAGAACTGTCTAAGAGCCCATTCACTGGTGGTAGACTGGGCAGGGTTCTAGCAATAGAACTACTATTATTGAAAAAGCTGGAAGCGTATTATTGCAATAACGCCAGGATACCTTATGCCATGCACATAAGTTAATGAGAAGAGGCCTGGGGAGTTTTGTTCACAACCCAGCATTCTTGTTAACGAGAAGCATTGCAACATTCAAGAGTATGCACTCCTTCTCAAAGATCTTCCATGAAGTTGCTCTCCATGTCATGTCATCAAATGTCGAGGAAAAAGTGGTAGGGAGGCAAATTCAAAATGTCGAGATTGGGAGATTCGCAGTGCGAATGGTCGGGGAGGATTCGTTCTAATCAACGAACACTTCTTGTAATGAGCACATTATGTGCGTAGGTGCACTATGAGTAAAAGTTGAGTTGAATTTGCTGTGAAATCAGAACAGAAGTAAAACGAAGCAGACAACATGCGTACTAGAATAAGATGAAAAGGTCAAAGAGAACTCTGGCAAAGAACTGGCAGGGTTAGCCATAAGTTCAATCAATGACAATTGAGTAGATTTCACAAAATGCGTCAATACCCTGAATTTCTTCATGGCCAGCCGTTACAATGCGCATTTCAATCACAAAATCAATATCTAAGCATAGTGTTGCAAAAGGAGACCGATGCGATATTCATGAAGTGATTTGTAAGGACGACGAAAGCGCGACAATATGACAAATCAAGCAATAACCGTGAAATGAAATAGTGTCAACACTGCGCGGAACAAACTCATTGTCATTTGTAAAGGAATCACTAACAGGCAAAATGTGTATAAATATCGACGAAAGTCGTAGGTATGCCCTTTTCTTGCAAGCACTGTAACATGTGAGTGAAAAACTTCATTCCGATGTAGAATTCCATGAAATTCAACAAGGACAACTGGGTAAACTCTTTCAAACAATAACAAAAAATCAAATACGAAAAACAAATACGATCTAGAGTTCACATGACAGAACAGAAGTAATGCTCTACGAAAACCACGAGGCGAGGCGCTCTAATTTACAAACGCCATCATGCTGCGCATTATAACAACTTTTGATGCAATAACAGCAAACGCAAGAACATTCACATTCAACATTCCAAATCAAGTCTATCCTAAACAATTGGAATAGTTTTAACTTGTCCGACTTGCTGTTTAGCGATCTGAACGAGAAAAATGTAATCTAAGGTAGAAAAAAATGAGAGCTGACCATTCAATATCTCGTCGAATTGTTTCAGCACTACAATAACTTTACCTTTCTATGCTCTTCCGCAAAGGCTTGTTTGTTCCCTTTCTTTTCTTGCCTCCGAAAACGACGAGCTTCTTTGACAGCCTGCTTACGAAGTCGACGTTGCTCGGGCGTTTCTCCTTTGGGTCTGGACGAAATACAATAATCAACCAATATTTTATGCCCCTCAAATTAATCTCCAAAAAAAGCAGAACTGCAGCCATTCTTGTGCTACCCCCCTATTGGATTCCTAACACTAATGAGCATTACCGCATCTCCCAAACTTCAAAATTGAGGACCAAGAAACATAAATTTACCTGTACGTAGAAGCTTCTGTGCAATGGCTCACTGTATCGTCATCATCACTGTGCATCTCTTCATCATCCACTTCCATTTCGTCCTCTTTCTTTGTTTCACGATCCAGCCGTTTGAGAGCGCGTCGAGACAGTTTGCCGCTTTTTGGATCTAGAAATCGCTCAGTAATCGACTTATAGCACATCATGCAGCACAGGGATTGACGGCCTCTCAAATTTTCTATTGTCGAAAGGAAGGTTCATAATGGACCGAATTTCAACGCACTTTGAATGAGCGTTGGACGATTGTAAATATTCGAGAACTGGGTGGCATATGATTCACAATCCCACTTGAGCCGCTTAGATGATGACTCATCTACCTGAAAATTCAAAAAAAAAAATAGAAAAAATCTGGGAGTAATGCGGCTTGCCCTCATATCAGGCTGTTTGGGAAGTTCCCGCCGATTTTGATAGCTCTGTTAAAGGGTTTAGTTCTGAATTAATCTCCAGCAAACTGCTGCAACTTTACATATCATTACAAAAAGCGTTTCACACTCTATCTAACGTTGCTACCATTTTTAAGCGAACCGTATCTGCATAAAACCGTAAAGGGGCCGGTATCGAGTGGGCGTAACTCACACTACTCGCAACTCTAAATACAAGGAGGCTGAAAAATTCGAAGAAGTGCCGTGAAAATTTACATTTTTGAAGACTCGTCCGTTCTCCATCTACCCCTTTTTATTCAAAGCGAACGACCCTTTTTCTGGCTGAGCCGTGCGGTACAATGAAGAAAAGATTAGCAATAGCAGAAAGACCTCCTCTGAAAAGTTCGATCAAGATGAGGGTCAGCAATTTTTCCAAAACATAGAATGGAGAAAGGTAAGGTTACTATGACTGTTACTGTGGTTTGCAGCAGGCGTGGCTGTTCAAGCGCCGTGTGCGCCCAACAGAGGTCATCATATAGGAACCGCCTAACCCCGCGATGTGCCTTGGACAGACACTGCAGCAGCAACCCTGCAAAAGTTGAAGTGGTTGAGCTTCCGAACTGTGTTGCTAAAGCCCTGCTCAGGAGAGCCTATTCCCTTCCACTTTTCTAACCATCTATGTAGCCTTTTGAGGAGAAACGTTTCAAAATCCTACGTGACATTGAAATGACCTTTACCGGGTTTATCGCCTTCAGAACTCCAACTCCTAAGAATTATATCGTATTAACATGAATGTGTTAGAAGAATGTATGAATCAAAATCACTTTGATTTCGATCGAGAACGGTCTGGTTGAATCGAGATGTGCGGACATGGATTTAGAGTCAAAATCGGTGAACCGAACCGCCCAATATTTTCAGCGCTTATTTTGGATTATACACCAGTAAGACGATCTTGACTGGCTTCATGTCAGAAAACGATGTGATCTACAAGCCTTACGAAAATTGCTCCAATATGAGTCTTGCAAGTGCGCATTCACTTGGACGTGTAGGCGTCAGAATGAGTTCAGAAACAAACTCGGCCATCGTGAGCTTTGAGGAAGTTCACGTGTCCTAACTGCGAAAGCACCACGTAATTCGGTGGCCAAAATTATTAGCAAAAAATCAACGAACTGAAGCTATGCCTCGCCTCGAAATCTAGCTGGGATATCTCGAAGGAATAAGGAAGCCTTGAAGCGAGAACGTAGTAAATATACCTCAACACTTTCCATAACTTCGTCATCCTTTAGAACATTTGCTTCGATTAGTCGCAACCGCTGTCTTGTCCATTCTTTTGATGCCTAAAATAAAGCATTCATATCAGGCATTTTGTCACTAGATATTGTCCCTGACGGTGAAGTGAAATCAAAAACAAAGGTACAAGTTCGATATATGACAAGCTTTCTCTAAACACCTACCCCTTATCTATCAAAAAGCTGTTATAATATTACCACCTATGAAGGAGCTAAATCTTGATATCAATCCAAGCCTACTCCGAAGTTCATTAAAGAGTTAACAAATTGCAGGAGCAATACTTACAAATCAACAGCTCCACTCTATCTCAACCCACTTCTTCATCGTCAACGGGTCCAACATGGTTTTCTTTTATCATCCTTTTTACGCGTTCATCAGTTGGTTCAAGTGCACCACCGACAAGATAGTCATCTCCATCTAATTCACCCATTTGGTCATCGTGGTAATCAGCTTCGAGCAACCGATCAAAACGGTCATCAAGTTCTCGTCGAGGTCCATCGCGATGCACCTGAATATAAATAACTTGTGGAAATATAGAATGCCTGTCAAAATTCTTCACCTCATATCTGGATTTTTCTTCTCTTTCTTCTTCGGCATTGTCATAGTTGTGATCTTCATCATAATCAGACTCTTCGTCGTCCTGACAAAGGAATGTTAAGTATACACAGAAACAATTACCAAATCATTGAAATTATAAAAAATTAAAATTCGTGACACACTCCGCACATGCATGGAGCAAGCCATTATGAAAAAAACTGAATGTGTGCAAGAACAAAAACGGAACGGACCCCTTCGTCGCTGTCGAAGTGAACAGCCTGTTGCCTTGGGCGATAAAGAGCCTTATGCTGAGGTTCAACAACTCCTCCAGCAAGCGCTACAAAATCGTCCTCAAGACCACCTTCAATTTCATTTTCGAAATTGCCCTGCAAAAGATATGAATCAACCAAGCAGATATAAACTGAAATAGCGACCATGAGATCCAGCAAATACATGCACTTCAACATAAATGATATGCAATGAATATTTTCCCTACGAATGCTATTATTCATCGTACCAAATAAGTCTCGAGAGAAGTGACTTTAATGGTCGCCATTTCGGATTATGAAGTCTTCATAAAACTAGATACTTGAAAACTCCAAGGCATAGCATTTCATACGCACTGCAACCCTTCCGTTGATCTTTGAAAATTTGGAACGCAGCCCCATCTGTAGTGGTTTTACAATGGTTCACGCCAGTGCGACTATGAATTTCAGTGCATCCGTTTCGCGCGAATCCGCTCCAAACGAAATCCAAAAGTGGCCGCATTATGCTGCAGTACTGCTCACCGGAGCAATAAACTCGCCTACCCCATCTCTTATGTCTTCTACTCATAATTCCAAACAGTGTTATGATTTCTGTTTGCGTCTGCTTTTGAACCTTGGACGTAAATATCATTTTGGCCCTTATTTAAAGCTGTAACAAAGCCTGATAATCCTGTGCTCAGTCACATAGTTATTGAAATCGTCCCTCCGTGACGAATGTAATATTCTCTCCTTCAAGTGTTGAGAAGAAACCTCGAAAAGTTGCCTTGCTGAAAAGACCTCAAAATGTGTTTCTCCAATGATGGAAACAACGTGTGATCATTACAAGTATACCACCGTGACCTTTCCACACTACTGATGGCCTTATCTTCTACCCTAATAAGTTGACCTCCATGCGTTTGCTTAGTTCAAAATAGTTATGCTTCTCCTCTCCAAGCTACGATCGTACAGCTAAACAAGTTCGGATTCTGTACAAAACCACTGCTTAAACGCTCCCATTGAGCAGAGAAATTGTGGAAGCAGAACCTAAAGGATCACAGGATGGAATCTTGGACTACAAAGACTTGCCCAGACAGAAAATGTGACTTTATGACATGTTTTGTGTAAAGGTGGATCGCAAAAAAATGTGGTAAAGTCTGAAACAGCAAATCGTTAAACGAAAGAAGCTAGTAATGAGCCATTCTTCAGAACATCGTTCGCCCAAAATTGGCGCCAGATTTTTACGATGACCGCGAAGAAGAAAAAACTGGATTTAGAAATGCAAAATGGTTCCTCAACAAGTAACATTCGTGGCATCCCGGAGAGTGGCAGCGCTTTTTACTCCAATAGGAACTCCTTCTGTATGGAGTCCTTTTCAGAAGTTAGAATGGCTGTGTTCGGCCAGTGTCAGACTTTGCGAATCCAGCGATTCGCTAGCGAATGGAGCTGAGCACCAGCGGATCGAACGATGTACGAGTAACTCAACACTTTTTGAAGGCGGCAGGACCTTCTCGTTTGCAGGTTGACTCTCGCCACTTTACCGAGCTCTCATACCCTCTCACTCTCTCATGCCCCGGGAAAGAGGCGAGAGCCACGCTCAAAGGAAGTTTTGTCACTTTCAAGCAGTAGTGTTAGTTGCTGGCTACAACGTTGCGAGGCCGCTAGGCAACAGTTCGATTTGCTATATCACGCGATTCGCTAGCGAATGGTGGTTTCACTAGTCGTGGACATATGGTTCGTCTGCGGAAGCTCATGTAAGTAAGCGAGAATCGCCGGGGGCGAGAATGGGAAAGCATGCAGATGCTCCAAACATGCTGCGTCTCTGTAAAATACATCTTCAAACCCTAGACCAGTTGCCCTTTAGCGGAATTCAGCACAATTCTTAGATCGAAAGCCATACAGCTGTAATGCAGAGCCTTATCACTCGTTTCACCACGGGATTCAGAGCTAGCCATAATCAGTTCCAACCAGAAGCCACTGAATTACTCCATACTGCCCAGAGAAAAAAGTCGGTTCTAAACAACTCCACTCAGGCAAAGTCGAAAAGAATCGGATGGTATGAAATTCCTCCGAGTGTCTTGACGCCACGGTTAACGACTCCTCACGCCTTAAGGGTGTACCTTGGTACACCTTTAAGGCGTGAGGAGTACCTGGTGTGTAACTTTGAGAAAGACATATTGGAGAAAAACCTTCTAGTTCGCTGCACCAGGAAGAGAAGAGGAACAACGAAATAAAAAATGAAATACTCGCAATAAGGCATCAAAAATATGGAAACGAAGTCCTTCGCAAATGGGGCGCGAATGGGAAAATATTCAAAGGTAGCAGTCTGAAAAAGATTCCGAGGTTTGCCCAACAAGAGTGAATCCCTGGGTTTACTTATCACATGTAGTTGCAAAGAAATGATTAGAGTGTATTGCGAAAGAGTGAATACTGCAATAAATATATAGGCGGACTGGAAGAGCGCGTACCTCCAGTGCTTTTTCTAATTCCTCATCAAAAACGTCATCATCATCGTTTTTCAACGTGGCAGTCGTTTCACCGAACAAAGCTGACGGCATCGGTAATGGCATTCGCAGGGGCACGCACGATAAATCTTTCTTCTTGTTCAGCGGCTTCTTGTAATGTTTGCAACGTTCCCGTCTGAAAGCAGAAACTTCCAGGAAATTCTATGGGGAAATGTGATGTATAGCTACTTACTTCTCGTATGTCCCTAAGGTGTTGCATGTAGTCATAGTCATCGTCATAATAGATTCCGTACTTGTGCCGCTCCTCCAACTCCTCCTCAGTAAGAACAACTCTAAAAACAAGAGTTACTTCGAAAAAAGACGATTAGAGAAGGAAGTGCCACAGTGGAACTCTACCGTTTGTCTTCGACAGGAGCACTTTCTGCAACGGACTTTGGAACAAGTCGGTAGTGGATGGCATTCTTCTTATCCAAAAACGCCTTCTTTTTGCCCTTAATTGGTTTAAGCTATTTATAAGTTTTGAAGCGGCACTCTGCCTTCTAGAAAAACGCTAAAAAGAAAGACTTCTTAAGGCAGAAAAGAATTATTGTACCTAAGCCTGAAGTACTTATGTAGAAGTCACTACTTATGGGCTGTCCCATAAGTAGTGACGCTTTTTTCAAAGCGAAATGCTCTGCTAAAATCACATGTTTTTACATCAATTCATATATTGTTGCAAAAAGGATTATTCAGCTTTATAGAAATTATGTCTTACTACCACATTCTCTAGAAACACGTTGAATTTTAGGCCTGCAAAATTCGAGACTCAGTCGGCGAAGGTTAGCCTAACCGAGCTGGTTATGACAGTGTCCCCTGGGAGAAATATGTCAACGATGTACCGCTCTTCCCCTTCGCCATCGCACGACCGATACAACCTAATTCACTCCCGAATCACAAGAGAGCTGAAAGGGAGTCGCCGAATATGACGGCGGCCTTGCGCTACAATGGATCTACAAAAACATAAGTAACTTCTCATGACGCAGTTGGTACAACAATGCGACAAGCGAGAGCTTCGACTTAAAAGGTGCGGCCATACTTCGTGGCTGTCTTGTACTCCACATTGCAACTACAACGGTGGCAAAGTATGAATGCACTTTAATGACAAACGACACTGGGTGTGGTTCACTAGGACAGAAAGCGACTTTTCGCGTTTCGCAGCGCGAAACATTTTCGCTGCGGGAACCTCAGGTCCACCGCTGATCATCAGTGGACCCGAGGTTCCCGCAGCGAAAAATGTTTCGCGCTGCGAAACGCGAAAAATTCGCTTTCTGTTCTAATGAACCACACCAGCGACACTCGCAACTCGTTGATCGGGTGGGGATAATTATGACACGAACATATACAGCCAACATTCCTCACCCCCCCCCCTCCCCTCTCCATTAGCTACCTAAACATAAGCTTGTGAGGGGAGGGACAGGAGAGGGGTGAGTGAGGACGCTTTCGTATCGGTAGTCCGACGTGACGGACGAACGGAATATCGACACCTACCTAATGCTGCGCGATCGTTACGATCGGAGTACCGAATATGCATGTGCCCTCTAATCTGATTCGAGATATAGAGTACAATTGTGCTAATTTTTACGAGGTTTGTCTAATTTTAAAGAAAAGGAAGTTAAGGAGCGAACCATGTTACTACGGAGTCCTTCAAGATGGTTGATGAGAGCGAATGGCAAGACTCCTGCAAACACTACAGATTAATGACATCCAACAGAACCTGAGCAGCAGTGCACAAGCGACATCCTGGGAACAAAATTTAGGCCACGCTTTCCTCAGTTGAGAGCGAGAAAGGCAGTTGCATTTCACATTCCTTATTAACCATAATTCACATGCGGAATTTCTTTCTCTTTGGATGAAACAACTAAATCAAAACAAAGTACTAATACATGAGACAAAATTTCTCCACGAAAAATCACTACCGTACTGAAATGGCGGTGGGGCGCTGGAGCATAATGGAGCGCGTTAGTTTGTTTGTGATTCGTATTTCCGGCCCACTGACATAATACATTCAAATTACAGGATAACATCCATAAAAGCAATTTCATGTAAGTATTCATTTATTCGAATGTTGTTTTACTTGCTTTTCTTCTTCTATTTATTTGGTTCTCATTTTCGTTAAATTTTAGATGGAATTAGTTGACAATGATTAATCTCAGTGCGTTTGAGATGTAAATCCAAAGGTTCATCGAGTAGTAGTATCTCTTTTTTCGATTTTTGAAGAATTTATGTCTTATTGAAGAAGTCAGGAAAAATTGCCTCAAAGTATCTTTCTTCCAGCGCAACTAATCTACCCATTCTGAATCACCTTTCTGGCATGGTTCAAACAACTCTTCGCGTTTGAATATGAAGTGGTGCTGTTTTCTGTTTTGGTTCGTATACCGAGTTATACTCGCTTGTCTGGCTCACTTCAATTGGTGAGTTACTTCAGTTAGGTTTTCCTGCTGTTTACAGCATCAACTAGTGTCATGAGTCAAAGCTTGGTAGGGGTGGAGTTCATATGGGGCAATACTCCCAAAAGACAGCGTTCATAGAATATCTTCCTCATCCCTCTTCAGAATACGAATTCTCGCCGAACACATGCTTTCCTTTTTTGTTGTCACTGCGTTGTTAATCTCAGAGTTAACGATAGCAAGGCATTTTCATTGACTTCCGCAGCTTAGTCAGCTTTAAACTTGTTCCTAGGAAAGGAAGGACATAGGAGCACTTTAGAGTAACTCGGATACTGCTCATGGTTATAGTATAGCAATTGACGCCGAGAAAAAGATCATTGGACGAATGGCTTGTAGTATTCTAGCATGTAAATGTAGACATGTACATGTTAGAAGAGCGCAAGCCATTCCTCTATTCAACACATTAGTAGATATGTAGACGTCAACTAATCATTCAAATACATTGAAATATGGGTGTCCGTTCGGGATCCACATAGAATTCGTCGAAGCAGCAATAATCCAACAGCTCAGTTTATGTGACACCTCGTTGTTTTTATGCAAATGATGAGTACCTTTTTGAGGAATTTGCGTAGTTGTGCATCTGACAGTTGCATCAAATCTCCAAGGGCTCATTTACGCCCATGTGGCGGAATGATCAATTGATCTAGTCTAGGTTCAATACGAAATCAAACAAAGCTTATACTTCAGGTTTGTCGCAGTTTACACGAATTGCATCTACTTCACGCTGTGGAAAAGTTATGATCTGCTGTGGTTCTGGATGCATCTTACTTTGTGTTCCTGTTTCCAATCATTACGCCGAGAGAACTACATGGTGGTGTGGAGCAATTTGATTTGGAAGCGCTATACGAAATATCCGGACTACACTTACAAGGTGATTCCACCTTTTTAGCTCTTGATCTAGAAAAGGAAAAGGAATGGCATGTCCATAGCGAGGGTAGGCTCGAATCCATTTCCTCGTTTCTATTATACTTTACATAATAGAATGTACGCGTCGCTCACGAGGCTCGATGCAGCAAAACAAAAGGAATGTGTTGCTTCATTGCTACAGAGTGAATCCGCATTTCTCTACCCTAATCATCAAGGTCATATCCGCCGAACCTTTTTTTTAACAATAATTTCTGGCCTGACCTAATACACCGTGCATTGGGCGGATGGGCTTTAGGACTCTCTCGAATTGTTGGTACACTGGGGTTTCTTTAGCGCACCGGATGGGCTCCAGGACTCTCAGATTGTTTGTGTGATAAAAATTCTAAGCGCTCAATCACTGGGTAACCTGAGGTAAAGAGTGAAGGTGAGTGGAGACGGTGATCAATCAGTTAGAGAATGACTAATTCACTTTTTTCAAGTTCAGTGCAATTTCCGCCATCATCGACCACTCCTTCGATGTTCTGCCATTCCCAAATTAAAAGCCACAAAAACTGAAAATTATCTGGAAAAGTGGATTGGTTTTTTTAGCCGTTCACCGTCTATCTTTCTCTAATCTCCCGGGTTGCCATCTATCATATGCTCAGAATTGTTTCACATAATCAATCGGATCCGCCTTTAGCATTTCCATTACTCCTTCTCGATGATGTATGGTCTCTCCAGCATCTCTTTGTCTAATCTCTGGGGCACTGAGCCAAGCACATTTGGGATTGCTAAGTGCCCAAGGTGAATAGCAGGCGGGATCTGCTAGGTGTTCGCACATCACTCCCTCTTCTCGAAATTTTTATCCAGCTGTGTTTTTCTGTTTTGAATAGATGTGGTGATTAACAACTAATGAGTTTGAAGTCTGACCTCTGCTTCGGTAAACGGATGATAATTCTCAAGGTGAAAAAACTGGACTCAAGATTTATCTAATTCAAAGTAAAGCAAATCTTTAAATGTACGATGTATTGTATGGAGAATAGTTAGACTGAGGCTGTACTTTTAGCAACTCTACTTTGCGCTATATGGCGGTAAAGCAACAAAAGCAGAGCGTGCTTTGGAGCGCTTGGACACTGTCGAAAATAAGGAAAGAGAGCAAAGTAGGCTCAGGCCAGGTAGGTAGTCATTTTGTACAACCTTGACTTCTGTAGATCGCTGGTTTCAGAAATGGATTCCTCTTCATCGGAAGACGGAGGTAACGACATAGACGAAAGCGACGGACATGGCGTCAAGACGTGGTGAGCTGTAGTTTTTTTTATTACTTTTGTGCGACTATTTTTTTGTTTTGTTCAGTGGGCCTCGCACTGCTATTTCCGACGTGATTGCCGAGGAAGAGGCTGAGTGCAGGAAGTATGTTTATATTGGGCAAGCAGTTGATTCGCAAGCAGACCTTAAATCGAGTATGTCTTACAACTAATCGAGGCTCATGAAAATAGAGCTATTGCTTCAATTTTTTTCAGTGAGGTCGGAGCAGCGTCAAACAGACCCGATAGAAAATAATCGTATAGCGCCGGTGCGACCACCACGACCTTTAAAGGGATCTTCTGCAAATGATTTAGGTTGGTTTTATAGGAACAAATTGTTTTATAGGATCTGTATGGAATGCAGATTAGGTCAATCTTTGGTGATACCCTCATCAAAACACGAGCAGGTGGCTCTCAATCATGAACTAGGAATTGCGTGCAGCTCACAGATTTAGCAAGAGAGATTCCATTAATCTTTGCAATTGTGAACCAAAGATATCTTTCAGGGGAACGCTTTTTAGAGTGCTTATGCTTTACGGTTTTGTGCTCACCATCAGCTCCTCAGCTAGACGCCGCATCGTCTATCCTTAATCGCCAAGCATCGACCTGAGCTCCACCAATAGCAGTACCTTAAAGTAACAACCCCATATGGATTCATACTTTTGCTAGTGGTGGAGTGAAAAGATGCGTGAGCTGTCGAGAACTGTGAAATGTCGTGAAAGCAAAAACTCGCCCTGGAAACCGCTGTAAGGGAGTTGAATAGATGCCAGCTTCATGCACTCCGCTACTTTGTGTTGTCCACCCATTTGCTAGCCGTGGAGATCGCGTGATTAGCTGCGTGGTCGCGCGATCGCGCGTAAACTGTGGTCGAATGCTGCCTGTTTTTTGATTGGTTTTAATTGCTTACATTGTTTAATTATCATGTTTCTTTGTTTGTATTGGTGCGCATTATTTTTTGCGTTGGTGCATATGCGATTGCAGCCGCACTGCCTGCTGGCACGTAGCTAACAATAAATGCCGCAAGCTAGTTCTGACAACTCGTCCGTCCGCACCCCTTCTTTTTTTAGGGGGAGAAGTGGGTCCTTCTTTGAGGGCATCCGGCGGTTTTCTTTGTTTCTTTTTTTTATCTCAGTCAACAAGCCTCCACAATTTCAAGACTGATCGCTTCTTCCCCACCAATGCGTTCTGACCTGTTGCTTTGAAGTTGGCAAAAAAGTGGATATATGCTGGCGAGGCAGAGGGTTCGGATGCCCACTGTGTGTAGGGCGAGCACAGATATTGCTGAAGCTAACACTGAAAATCACCACCGTGTCGCTAAAGTACCATTGGGAACACGCAGAGCTAGTTCCGAGAAATACACGTGATCGGTTCTCGTAAATTACAATTATTTCAATTTTTGAATTGGAGTGTTTTTGGAATACCATAACTCAGCAAATTCCTTAGTTATTCAACTTAAAGCAGTCCAATTTAGCAGCAGCAGCAGCCAGTGACGCTGGAAGTTCACATATGGTGAATTCTGTTAGCAATGGCCCGAGTGCTCTGCAGAACAGGTTTCTCTTTGTTTACGAGTTTGACTTATAAATATATTTACTACTCAGTAATCTTGCCACACGGCAATTTTGTTTTATTTGGTGATTAAGTTGCCAATATTTTGGTTGTTCTTAATTTCAGTGTTGCTTTCAAGGACACCGTACCTGTTAGGCCACCTCCTATTCGGAGTGATAGCGAAGAATCGAAGGTTCTGCAGCTAGTTTCAAGCTCATATCTTTTGTACAATATTTCCTTTCTCATTATAGACAAGCGTGTGGGGACGAATAGTTGAGAAGATTCCAAATCCTCTCAGAGTCAAGAACAAAGCTAAGGGTGTGCCTAATGGAAATGGTGCGTGTTCAACCCGTACCCTGTAAGCCTATAAGCTCAATATCCTACCTTTTTAAGTGCTGGATATTTTGGCACCTAATTACACGAACACCTATGATGTGTATGATGAGAAGAAGTTGGCAAAACGAGCGAGGCGGGATCGAAAGGCGTTGACTCAGCGAGTGCGACGTCGTATCCGAGAAGAATTGAGAGAAGCAGCTCGCCTAGAACGGAGGTAAGATTGATTCATTCTGATCTACTGAAGAAGTCTTATAAGCTAGAGCAAGTGATGTATACAATTTTTGCTTTATTACAGACGAAAGAGAATCGCCGATGCTATTGAGCTGCTGCTTCAGCTTTTGAGAATGATGACATCCTTCGCTGTCTTGGTGGGAAACATACGGAAAACATTCATTCCGGCTCAGTTCAAGTACCTTAGACCAGGACAGCAAGCATACGATCATTATGAACTCCTTTTACTATTCAGGCAAGCTTTGTGGAGTATTTTGACGTGGATGCTGGTGACATGGGGAGAACACCTTGTCCCTGTTAATAGAACAAGTCAGACTGTAATTCTTTGCTGTTGTGTTTGACTACCGTAATTTTTCTCGTGGGAGAGAGAATGACTGACTTAAATTCCTGAAGATAGCGCTCCACTGTATTGGATTTTGCATTCGACAAGTTCAGAATATTACAGAAAACCAAAGCCGTTAGGGAACAATCAGCAAACCATTCTTTTTCCTAATTTATGCTAACGGTGGTTTTCAGCAGCCCTGAGCACTGATCGCTGCGCGCGTCACGACAAAGACGTCGGGTGAGGCTCGAAGGTATAGTGATGGGTCAGCATGGCCCTGAAGATATAGAAATGTCGCCACTGTGCGTTATAATGCAGCATAGCTAACCCATCTTCCAAAATAGACACCCTTTGATGCAGCACAGATCTTGTTACTCAGGCCGATGATGAATAGCCACATATTGCGTGCAAGTTAGGGGGCGAGAGTTGAATCCCATAAATGCCGTTTAGCAACAACCAGGCCGTTGATTCACAGCACGTGGTGGGAAGTTAGCTGGAGTTAAAAGTAGCCCAGATCTTGTTTATTTATAAATTCTTGTTTAGTAGTAAGTTATATTACCTGTTTTTCACACCTGTATTACTACACTTCACTATTGAACTTCCTTTGTACAGAGTGACGACATTCCTCGATGTCAGCATGTTCTGGGCTAATGTCATGTGGGTGTACTGCCTCCAGTGGCACTTATGTTGTCGTCTTGGATTCGTAAGGTTTTGGGTGTGGTTAGCGATATTGTCGACGGTGTGTTTGTTTGCAATTTTTGTACTTTGATTCACGCTTGAGTAGATTCTGCATATACATTTTCTTGTGTTCAGATCGCGATTGTTGTTATGATAGCTCCTATGAGTTACGCCATGAATAATATGGATTTAAGCTGGTGCCGCTTTCGACCTAACTCAACGTTAGAAAAGTATCAGCCCAAATGGTAGACGTGACGTTGCCTTTCTTGCAAAGGTATAGTATTTTCTTCGAATGCTTGTGGTGAAATGACTTACACGATTCTTTCCTTTTGTGTAGAGAACTGTCAGAGGCGACAGTGCACTCCGAATGCTTACTTCTACTGTTCCTGTGCGCAGTTAGACAACAACCATCACTCCGGTTTTATTTTCTCCTCATGTCTTCTCATCAACTCTGAAAATGTTAAAATCTCCTGGTGTCTTTTTAGGACACTCCATAAAACTTGTGATATCGGTCATGTAATGGCCATATGTCATAATACTTAATGGAACACAAAGTGTTCTAATAACCAGTTAATCAGCACTAATTTTCTCTGTTAGGAATGGAGTGTTCATGACTTTATACGGATAGTGCTCCTCTATAATACTATGTATGCTTCATGTGCAAGCAGTGCTTCAGGTCCAAATCTGTACCTTGCCTCCTGTGAATTTTGCGATCGATCTTACCTAGATCTATTGAATGAGATTTGTGATTCGACCATAAGAGTTTGTACTAATTCTTTGCACCATGTTGTCATTTACCTCTGATAAATTCCTTTCAAATTGCTAGATCTTTGCAGAGATGCCGGGCGGGGGAAGGACTTGGAATTAAACAGAGGGCCGTATTGTACTATTCATTACCAATGTATAATACTTAT